CAATGAGTCCCTGAAAATTCAAAACACATTTTATGTACATCCCCCTACAATCCTTTAAGATTAAATGAATATTAAAATGCCTGTTAGTTCTTGAGTTCCATTATTGTATGCCACAATAATTGTTATATGTCAAAAGTTCTCCTTTTTTTTTTGTTTCTTGACGTGGAATATCCTCTATATAATAACTTCTGTAATGTGCAATAATTTCAGGGATTTTTTTCAAGTGTTTTGATAAACCAGACCTTATATATTTATCTGTTTGCCTTTTACATGTTTTTCGGACTTAGATACGTTACCTATTGAGCTATCACATTTACCGGTAGTAAACAGACGTTTTTATCTTGTTTTCGAGATTCGTGTGTTACATTTATTGAATCATTAATGCCTGACATTTTGTGAATGAAATAAACTAGACCTTAAATCTTTATCACCTTACCTTAACACGTCTTTCAGACTTGTATTCATACCGGCTAAGTTACCATATTTAGTTAACAGACGTTTTTATCTTGTGCAGGTTTTGAGATTCTGGTGTTCCTTATTCTTCTCAGGAATGGACGTCCAGTCATACTTGTGTTTGTTACTCATGACAATTTTATTTTCACAGAGCACAGGAATATGCCTCTTGAAGATGCTTTGCGGTTGGTTTCACAAAATTTTGAACAGTACATGCAAGACCTTCGTAAGAGAGCTGGTGATCTTGATAAAGATAAAGAGAAAGAAAAAGAGAAAGAGAAAGAGAGGGAGCGTGAAAAGGAAAAAGAAAGAGAGAGAGAAAAAGAGCGTGCTCGAGAACTTGAAAGAGAAAAAGAGCGTGAGAGAGAAAAAAGCTCACGAAGCTCCTACGGATCCTCATCAACGACCAARGTGGCTTCTCAGGAACCAGATGAGATGAAAAAACTTCTTGGTAAGGCTGCATCGGGCGGCCAGCTTTCCTCTGATGAGTTGTCGAAACTCATAGAAAATTTGTCCAAGCAGAAAAAGCAGACCGAAACTCAGAGCAGCACAGGAGGTAATGGAGCCTACAATGTGTTCCTTTTCAAACCTGTTTCTCTGTCCTTGTCTGAATGTGGTGTGAAGTAACGGAAGAAATACTGCAGTTTTTTCAATTGTCGTACATGTATGATTCAAAATCTACGTCGATCTGTAGTACAACTTTTAATCCGTTGTGCCTGAATAGTTCTCGGTCTAATGTTTGGTACTGCTTTGAACTWATTCTTTGGATGAACCAATAATCTTGTACTGTAGCACACTGACCAGTAACAGTGATCGTGTGTGGTACATAATAGCTAACATTATTTTTTGCGACACACTTACATTTGTAAGCCTTTCAAATTTTGATGATCACAAAAACCATGGGCAAATTTCTGTTTAAAATTCTTTAAAACTTTTTTTTTTACTCTGACAATTGTGTTTTTCAAGAAAGTTGATGTATTTTCGTTTGTTTTTGTTTTTAAAATCGTTTCTTGACAAATATTATTACAATCAATCTTTCGTCAGGCCCCACAGTTAGTCAACCCCAAACAGATGCTAATTCCATTGCAAAGCAGCAAGCTGACCTACAAGCTAAGATTTTCAGCATTTTGAACCCCAGTGCGTTATCCAAAGTATCTCTCACAGTTGCTCAGTCAGCAACAGGGACATCTTCACTTACAGCTGCAACTGCAAAGTCAACTGGACTATCAAATGCGTCATCGCCATTGTTTCCTGCAGCTAAAGCTTTGGCAGCAGCCTCAGCTTCATCAGGATATGGTGTACCTGGGGCAAGCAGTGTATCTACAGGAGCTCAGAGTGGCGGTTATGCAAACCGTTCTTCCCAGCAATCCGCTGGACCTGCCAATTACGGTGTCCAAAAGGCTCCTGTTTCATCATGGTATTCTGGTAATTCAGCATCAACTACTTCTACCTTCAATACCCCAACTCAAGCAGYAGCTCAGTCATATGGAAACAATGCCCAAAAGACTCCTTCATCAGGGAATTATGGAGTTCCAAAAGCTTCACCAACAGGTTTCGGAGTGCCAAAAGCTTCTCCAACAAGTTATGGTGTACCAAAAGCTTCACCAACAAGTTATGGAGTTCCAAAAGCATCRCCAACCAGTTATGGAGTTCCCAAAGCTTCACCAACCACTGGGAGCTATGGAGTGCCTAAAGCTTCACCAGGTAGTTATGGAGTCCCCAAGGCTTCAGCCACGAGCTTTGGAGTCCCAAAGGCCACCAACAACAGTTATGGAGTGCCAAAGACCTCTGCAGCACAGCCAAGTTCTGATAACTCTGGCTATGGGCCTTCAGGACGAGGAGTACTTTCAAACAGAGGTGGCTTCCAAGGGCCAGGCAGAGGGGGAGTAGCCAGGGGAGGCCCGCCYCCAGGGGTGACAGCWGTACGTGGTGGTGCTCCTCCAAATGCTAGAGGTGGAGCAACAAGAGGTGCACCCTACCAAGTACGAGGTCCTGCTCCTCGGGGTCAACCAGCAGGAGGAATGCCTACTAGAGGATATCCACCCAGAGGTGGGGCRCAAGGGGGRCMGCGTTATGGTGTTCCAGCTTTTAGAGGACCTGCACCACAGGGAGCTCCTATTAGTACTGTCCAGGGACGTGGAAGACAGCCACCAAGATATTGAAACAATGAACAATACAGCAACCTGTGAACACTTTTTATGAAAGATTGAYGTTTAAGAAAWGTTGTGCTATTCGTGATTTTTATGAAAGAACTTTCACTTAAAACTCTTACACTATAAACAACTGCTGTGAAATCCTTGCAATGGACAGTGGAAATGCTACATGTATTTGTGACTTTTATGAACCAGCTTCAAGTGATGGACTGAGTATATTGTAAAGAATTGTTGTGTAGTCGTTTACTTTGAACTACACCTTGAGATTTTARTAAAGCTTCAGATTTAAAGCTCTTTGCTCAAACCACCATTATTATCATCATATTAGGGTGAAACAGATAGGTTCTTTTCGGTTTTTTTTATTAAACAACATGAGCATGCATTACATCAGGAAAGCTTTTATTTGATCTTGTGCATGAATATGGTTAAGCTTATGAGTATAAGAGAATATTTTTTAACTTCGTTCAGTTGTAATAGTGAATTTTTTTAGTTTGACTTTATCGTTGAGTCATTTCAATTCATTTTTGCATCATTAGTACTGTGTTCCAAGACAATAAATTATTGTACACATTTACACAATGCGACTTCTTTTGTATACTTCATTGCTTTCTAATATGTTTGTGTATCACTAATTCATTAATCAGCTAGGATTTGAACTTAAAAAGTAGAACTTATACACAATGTGTTTAAACTCAAAAATAAGAATTTGAAACGGTTTAACTGCAAATTTTATCGGCAATAGTTATAGTAATTASTTTCAATCATGGTAGTTATAGCTCTGGGTAAAACATTGGGACTAAGCTTGCAAGTGAACATATCCAAGAAAGACTACAGTAKCTCATAATCAACTTTATCTGGGATTGATCCAAAGGGGGTGACAGGGCCCCCCATTTTGTGAAAACCTGCTTAAATACATATTTATCTGACCTGAATAATTCAGACAAGCCAATTGAAAATTTATAGATTTCCCCCCTTYCCCCTTTCAAAGTGTCTGGATCTAATTTAGATTGGTTTATTGTCTCTTTTCACATTTTTTTTTCGCTTTTTGTTTTAACTTCCACATTTCTTTGTTTTTGTTTTATCCTTTTATTGTTATAATACAATCATATTGTTTTATTTATTTTGTTTGATACAATAACTCTTATCATCAATGTCAATCATTCCCTGTCAACCATGGCCTAATCA